CCTCCCAAGGGAATTTTCACCAGCACACGTCATATTTTTAAGTGAGTATGTTGTTTGCCCAACTCTCAACCTGGAGAGCCGTGTTTCACCATAACGTGGTAGGACGGCTTGCATCCTTCAACGACCCCCAGAGGTATGTCGGGTGGGGCTTCGGCCCTTAGCATGTTTAATCAAGCTCACCGGGTATGCGGGGTGTGAGCTAGACGAAAGACACACCCTGTAACCTCAGAAAATTGTTATCCTGTCATAATCGGCGCACAAAAGAAATTTTTGTGAAACTTTTGTGTTTTACTTTCTTTTTTTGTAATATTTTAAAATAAATGTTTTTTTCTTTTTTAATTTTCACGCCGTAGTCGTTTTGTTTTGCAATGTCGCGCCTATCACACTGATTTCCTGTTTCTACTAAGTTTTGTGTCTTGTACAAGAAATTGGATTTGGTGAAAAAATAAACTTTCTTTTTTCCAGCCAATAAAGTTTCAATAGTTGCCAAAATCTGAAGTTAGCCAGATTACACGCGATATATACGCGTATATGACGAAATATATTTAGATTTACAAATTAACCCAACTGGTCTCAAAATTTAAATTTAAATTTAAAAAAAATAATATTAACGAAATAAAATAGATTTAATAAAAATACATACAAACTGCATCATGGAAAAGCGATGCTTAGTACTTACAATTAGAATTTCATGTTAATCTTGCTAACCTGGATCCAATGGTCATTTAGTGAAAACCGTGTGGCTGACTTTAAAAACAAGTCTACATTTCAGAAACCAGCATATTTATATAATGTTTTCAATTTCAAATTATTTTGACAGTGATTTGAAAATAAAACATTATATGAATACATACATAGAATAATCTATTTCTAGTTAACAGTTAATATATTTCAACCATTGAAATGGCTAAATGTATAGCCGAAAGCGCTCGAAAAAATATAACATTTCGACAGTTTTCATATAATTTATCTACTGAAAAAAAAATTATAAGATCACATGTGAAATTATATAAAAAAATCAAAACACCTTTTCTGTCACATTTAATAAAACTTGCATATATATATATATATATATATATATATATATATATATATATATATATAGAGAGAGAGAGAGAGAGAGAGAGAGAGAGAGAGAGAAAGAGAAGGGAGAATTAATACAAATATAAAGTTTATCAGCTGATTGTTTTTACCTTCGGTATCCAGATTCTAGAGTTTCATAGACAAACCCTGCAGGAATCACTACGTCCACTCTTCAGGGGATATAAGCAGTTGACTGCTGATATCTCCTGCTGTGTGAACGTTTGCTGGAGTATGCGTCTATGAAACCCTAGAGTCGGGATACTGAAGGTAACTCTAATCAGCTAAGTAAACAAACTTTACATTTGCATTAATTCTATTAATTCTGTATCTCTGATATCGAGCACTTTATTGCAAGAAATACTTACCCTAAATTTACTTTCTCTCAGTATCCCACTGACTGACACCATTTTTGGCTCTACACAATCTATGCTATCGCCATTGTGACACGGCACGCAATGTTAACTGTTAAATTAGACGTGTGAACAAGTTAATATGAAACAGGCTACATTTGTGTTTCTTTACCTATTTCTTTCATTTTTAGTTTTATTTCCTATTTAGACTGAGTCTTGTTTCGGTTAAGAAACGACCAGAAAGGAAATTGGGTTGCTTGACCACAGAATGTGACCTCCTAAGAAAGTGAGAAAAATACGTTACATACGCTGATGTGACATATATCACCAAGAGTATAAATTCCTCCTTGGAGGGATTTGTAACGCATGGCTTATCATCTCTCAGTTGCGCCTCTGTCTTTGGGCAGAGTGCGCTCAGGGGCTTCTCTTTCAAAGAACAGAGGGGTAACTGGGAAAATTATACTGACAGGAACAGCTGCTCGTGGCCGCGCCCATTGCACCAGAAGGAGGGATCGGTGCTCGCCCCGAGGCCTGCGCAACCGACGGTTACTGGGGTTGTGGGTAATTTTTTACTTTGTCCCGGGCGTACGCGCTCAGGACCCCACCTAAAAAGACCTTGTGTCACATCTCGTCCAAATGGGGGAAAGAGTTAATACCGCATAAAAATTCTTCCTTGGTGGATTTTTTAACGCATTTTCTTATCAACGCCCAATAGCGTCTCTGTCTTTGGTCAGAGTGTACTCAGGGACTTCTCCGTCAAAGGACAGAGGTGCAACTGAGAAAATACTGAGAGGTGCCCAGCCCTGGGGAACAGCTGCCCGAGGCCACGACCTCTCATTGCACCAGAGGGAGGGATCGGTGCGAGCACCGAGGCCAGCGCAACTGACCGTTGCGGGGGCTGTGGGCAATTTTTGTCCCTTGCCGGCGTGCACGCTTTCGAGTCCCCACTTAAAAAAGACCTTGTGCCACATCTCGTCGAAGGGGGGGTAGTTAATACCGCGTGAAAATTCTTCCTTAGAGGAGTTTTTAACGCATTGCTTATCATCACTCAATAGCGTCTCTATCTT